AAACTTTTTGCTAGCATAATGAAAAGAAAGGGAAGAAGGAAGAGAACATACAAAGATTTAGAATTAGAACAAAGCCTTTACATCTACCTCAGATTCAGGGACACTGAGAACTGCTGTAACTCAACACTACATACTACTTGAAGCTAAGTAACCTTGAGATTTAGGAAGAGAAGGAGAATTTCTAGAATAAGTGAAGTGTACAAATGAACTTAGGACAAAAATTTGAATACACAAATAACTATGGACAAAAGCAAGAAAGGAGATTAAAGAAGTGCCTGCTACAATGTCACTAAGTAACATTTTGAAGCAATGGATCACTGAGGTGGTACTGAAATGTTTCCAGTACATCAACAAATACAAAAAGGTAGCTCTCAATTTTCCTTGAATTATGATGGTTCAGCTTATCACATTTTTCTTTACAATGAGACAAAAGCACTGGGCTACCAGAAGAAAGTACTTCCAAATGTGCATTTTGGTCTTCTTGCAAGTTAGTGATACAAAGTATGACAGCAGCAGCGAGTCACCCCTTAGTGAGCCACAGGATGAGAGGGAAGGGACAATATTCTACAGTGCAGTGCTGCTGAGCTATGATATTTATCAGGCTAGGTTTAAAAATGCTTCTTTTTTTTTTTTTCAGTACTGTGGATCGAACTTAGGACCTTGTGTTTGCCAGGCAAGCTATATCCCCAGAAGAAATGTATTTTCAGCTTAATCATATTCAACTTGGGATGGATTCATTGAAACAGGACTCCACCATGAAATATGACCCCACCATAGTGAAGGAGAATGTGATTGCCATTTAAACCTGAGAAATGTAAGAACATCGAATTATTTATGAATATTGTGACAGAACTAACTGTATATCAAAACTTATGCTGCTGCTTCTGCAGAATAGAGTTGTTGTTGAGAAACAGCTGCTCAGAGTAATTTCTGGGCTGTATGCTCTGTTCTCATAATGGAGTTTGAATGGAAGTGCTGGACTCATGTTCGCCGAGGCTGTTTTAATAAGTGGGTCAGCGGCTCTTATTTTTGCTTTTGCATTCACTGGCTCAACACAGAGGATGACAAGGCTGTAGGGCAGGAAAATTATGAGCTGTGGGCCCAGGGTGTATTTTTGTAAATAAAGTTTTATTGGAACACAGCCACGCCCATCTGATTGTTTGTTGCTCTGGCTCTTTTCACACTACAGTGGCAGAGTGGAGCAGTTGAGAGAGACAGGGGCTAAAGCATTTACTCAAAATCACCACCTTGCTGTAGGATACAGTGGAGCAACTAGACAGAAAGAGCCTGCTGTGGAGGACTTGTAGTACAAGGAAACCCTGACCTGTTAAGAGACAAGAAATAAACCTTTTTTATTAAGATGCTAAAGCTTTGTGGTTTGTTTTGTATTATTATTCTAAGCTAGTATTATTCATTTATATGTGTGTGTGTGGCCAGCTCAGCCCACCAGGGGGTGGGACTGGTTGGCATGTGGTGCTGGGGGATTGAACCGCGGTCCCTGTGCTTTGCTAAGCTTGTTCTAAGTAGGTGCTTTAGACCACTGAGCCATCTCACCAGCCCTAAGCTAGTATTATTCTAACTAATCCAAAACATGAAAAAAAAATCCCAAATAAAGTAATAGCCATTCCTAAAAAAACCACACACACAAGAAAACATAAAAGATTATTTCCAGAAATTTAAGGACAATTAGAAAGCTAACAATACCACATGACTAGGTTGAAAAAGGAAACCCATGCCGTCTACTTTTCACATGATTTGGAAGCATTTTAAAAACTCAACATCCATCTTACAAAGTTCTTTTAGTAAAATAAGAATAGAAAAGTACCTCTTCAGAGTATCGAATGCCAAAGTGAGCATCAGAGAGCTGATGGCTACAGATATTCTCATTTATCTTATTTTTTTTCATAATTTTGTTGAGAGAGAAATAGCAATGAGACAGTTTCAAATCAAATTGGTATGACAGTTTCAATAATTAACACATTGCATACTCTCTTCTTAGTGGTTATTTGCTGTACAAGATGCAGACATGAGAGATATTCTCATCTAACAGGGAAGATTAAAATACGCTATCATCAGTATATCATAGGATATGACAAAACATGAAACATGGCCTGGGGAGATGGCTCAGTAGAATACGTGCTTGCCTGGCAAGTGCAAGGGCCTGAGTTCAATCCCCTGTTCTACCAAAAAAACAAGCAAACAAAAAACTCCCCACAAAACATACCATAACAGAGGCTATCGCTTTTGAAACACTGCCAACGTACTAATAACAGTCATATTCTACTATGTAATTTAGCCATATTCCATACTTAGTAATTATATTACCAAGGTATCATTTACTGCACATACATAGATTATATGTACTTTATAGATCATACACATAATTTTATTTATAAGCATTTTTATCTGCTATATTTTGTATATAATAAGAAACATTATTTGTTTCATATAATATATATAACATATATAATTTATATGCTTTATAAGTAAATGTATGATATATTTATAAATATGATGTAATTTATACATAAAACATGACAATTATATGTAATTTATATACTTTATAGACTTTATTTAATTTAGTTTTTAATGTATGTGGTTGTTACAGAGTCTCACTACACAGCTCTGACTCATAGTGATCCTCTTATTTTCAGCTGGAATTGCAGGCATGCACCACTATACCTGGACTCTGGCCAGCTCAGCCTGCCCCAGGGGTGCTGGTGTGGTATGTGGTGTGGGGGATTGAGCCCTGGTCCCTGCACTTGCCTAAGCTTGCCTAAGCAGGTACTTTAGTCTGCTAAGCTATCTCACCAGCCCCTACTCCATAGACTTTAAACTGATGTACTAAGTTACTAGATTGATGCTGCTTTTCAACTACCAGCCAGTGCAACAAGATAGAAAAAATTTATGGGGGAAATAAATTTCTATTTTTTATCATGGTGTACCTAAACAACTTAAGATAAACTAAGAAACTATTGAAACTGAAAGAAATCTTCAAAGATGCTCAGTTATAAGGTAAATGTATAAAACTCACGTATTTCTCGGCCAACAGTAGTTCATGTGACTTTATTTAATACAATAATAAGCTTTGCTGAGGGAAATAAAAGAAGATGTAAATAAGCAGAGAGGCATACTATATTTGCCTTGGAAGAATCAACATCTTTTAAACATGAATTCACCATAAATTAACTTATAAATTCACTATAGTATCAAAAAGAATTCTAACTGAACTGAAGTTGGCATATGAAAAACTGATGAAAATTTTCATTTAAAGTCATTTCTGAGAGTAGCCAAGAAACATCAGGAAAATCAGACCAATGTGAAAAAGACATACATTAATAAGTAGTGAAATATATTATAAAATTGAAGAAAAATAACATCAGACCTGTCTCTTAAAACAATGAAAAAATTTCAGATGTAGTCAGGATTTAAACCTAAAGATAAAACCCTGAATATAAAGTGTTAAAATAATAGTCTAGGTGGAAGATCTATATTCTTCTACATTCCTGAGTTAGGAAATATTTTAATGAAAAAAATCAGAATCAAAAATAAAAAGATGAATGGCCTACTTATACAGAAATTTAAAATTGCTATCAGTTAAATCACTATACGCAAAATCAAAAAGGCAAAGGACAAGTTGCTAAGAGGAGGGACGATGCCTGTGGCAGATGGAAGATTTCTTCCCTCTATAAAAATAGCATTTAAAAGCAGTGATGAGGAACATGCTCAGCAGAAGAAGAGAAAAAGCCACAAACTGGCTGAGACACTCAACTACGTGAAGAAATATAATCTCACTATAAACTAAAGTAAGCAAATTTGAAGAGGTTTTTTCACCTATCATATAAAAATAAATCACAAATTTATAAACATAGGATAGGATGCTTCAAGAGGTACCCTGTGGAGACTTTTTCCTGTCTGGCATTGTATCAGAGTAGTGATGGAGAGACAGTGCACAGTGAATACCCTAGGCTCAGTTCAAGGGCACGAGATACTCCTGTGGACAGACAAGAAAAGAGAAGATCACAATGGGATTCCAGTGGGGTAGTGAAAGGTGAGTGAGTTTATACTCCTGAAGTTGATATTTTTGTATTTCCAGGTTCCGAAGGCAAATTTCACATGGCCTCTAAACAGATGAGTGAGAACAAGATTTTAAAATGTTAACAAACTTGATACATCTCATAATATCCTTCACTGTGGATGAAATGCCCTTAGGAATAGGTTGTGACAATGCCAAGACATTTAAAAGCATATTGTTAAATAATGTTTACCAGTATTCTCAGAGCCATTTCTGGGCCTAATTGGGCCTAGCAGTTATAAGTGTGCAGCTCCCTTTTCTCCTGTCTACCACCATATCCCCAGGTTCTACTCAAAACTTTCTACACATGAATTCAGCACCTGAAGACTATTTGAGTACCTTGGGTGTCCATTGGTCAAAAGACTTTACACAAAGACTTTATGCAATTTATGCAAAATTAGTGTGTATGTCACTTCCTGGAGTATTTTTTCTTTGTCTTCACAGAGCACATGGATGTCATCAAGAGTGTTCATATGCATTGTGTAGCACCAGCCTCCCTCCCAAAAGCCTGGGTAGGACAGATATTGTCACCTCCATCTCAGCCAGGCCACGTGGCTTGGGAGAGTGCCAGCACATAGCAACCAGGATTTTAGGAGTTGTGGCTTCACCCTTCTTTAGAAAAGGAAGCTGAAAGGGGCTGGACTCATGACTTGGAAAAGGTGGGATTACATAGAGGAGATATTTTGAGGATTATGTCTAGTCACAAGTGCAAAATTGGCCTATATTAACTTGGCATTTGAGTGTACAAAGATGACTTTCTTCCTCCTTTCTAGGCTCTCTAGGGAATAAGGAACACACTCAGAGCATGACCCATGCACAGCTCCTGTCCAGAGACCCCCACCCTGACGGTTCCTAGCATTTTAAGTCCCTGCTGCCCTTGCATCTCACGTGCACCAGGGCCAGGCATTCCGTGTATTCAGACTACCTTTTATGGCTTCTTTCACAGCAGAATCCACAGGAAGGATGTTCTTTTCCACCAGTTCCAGAGGCCCTGGTCGGAGAGCAATCTTTTCATTGAGGTCATCGGCAAGGCGGGCTCTTTTCAGCTTCATCTGAGCACTTGGAATGGACCTCTCCGTGGTGGAGGCTGAACGGTTGAAACGAAAAGGATCAGTTTTAGAGTGTGAGGTCTTTGTTCAGTTTTGTTCTTGGCTTGGGCCTATGAAACACTGTGTCATATCATGCCCTAACATCCTAATAATTTTTCAATGGAAGCATCATCACCTCCCAAGGATTAGCACTGAAGACCAGATACTTCCAAATAAAGGCAAATAGAGAGGCACAAAGAAAACTTAGAGAAATTTGTTTTGCGAGGATTTGTGAGGGGAAAAAATTTGCAATTTGGAGCTTTTGCAAGCAAGCATTCCATGGGGTCCACATTACTTGCCTAACCCGCTGCTGTGGCATTTGGGTGCTGACCGGTTCAGGCTGAGGGGGCAGGAAACACAGTCTATGCTTAGAATGAGGAGCAGCAGTCATAGTCATATAACTTTTGAACAGTTTTAGACTTAGCAATGCTGTGACTCTGACTAGGAGTCAAATGTTCAGATTATTTATAAAGGAGAGAAATCCTTTGAAACTGTTATTTAATTGGACAGAGGGATTTTTTTTTCATCATTTTAAAGAATTGAATTTATCCAATAGGTGATTTTGATCATTTGAAGGGTGAGAAAGGTTATATAGAGAGCCCTAAACCCAGTTCTATATGGCTGAGAGCAAATTTTCTCTTTAGTGTGGGCCCTAACCCATTTCTGTGGAAGAACTTGGGGAAGGACCCAGCTAACTTGTGCTATAATGAAAAAAAGTAACTCAGATTCTATAAGTGTGTACAGTTTTGTTCTCAACTCTGTGAATTTAACAAATGATATATGTACAGACAAGCCTCCCAGCACCTTGTTCTGTCATCATCAAGCTATGACTTCAGCTGATGTAGAACTTTCCATCCAGGGGTGGTCTGGGGATGCCTAAATCAATTGCAATAAGCTGGGTCCTAAGAGGCCACTGCAGGGCTTCTTGCTGGACTCTGCCTCAGGGTGTTCTTGTCCGTTTGGTACACCAACCCAGCACTAAGCTTCAAGAAGTCCTTTCACTTGGTATTACTCCTCCCAGATGGTCCTCTCTCTCCAAGCTTACCACACACTACATTCACCTTCCCTCATGAATGGTGAGTTTCCAAGCCAAACACCACCACAGTGAGCCTGACATTGCCCTTTGTGCCTCCCCACCTGGCATCTTACTGAGCTCATTTTTGTTCCTTTGCTTCTCTACTCCATTTCCCACCATGAACACACAATTCCTTTTTTTCTGGACGCAGCAGAAAGCCTTTCTAATTCTTTCTTTGCTCACACAACCCGGTTTTTTTTTTTGTTCTGCCTCTAACAGTTCCAAATGGGCCCTGTATCTCATTGTGCTATTAATGAATTTGGGTGATAAACTCCTGGAGTGTGGGGCTTGCTGCACATCTATCAGATGTGTGGTGCTAGTTCCCCATTTCTGCCGGGCAGAATAGAGGCACATGTAAAGCCAGAAAGAGCTTGACATTTTAATGACAAGCTGTAAGGACATAAGAAATAACTTTTTTTGGTAGTACTGAGGATTGAATCAGAGCTTTGGATATGCCAGGCAAGTGCTCTGCTACTGAGCCACATTCCCAGCCTTAGAAATAACATTTCGTATTCTTTTTATGATCATAACATTACTATTTACTCACTATCATAAGTATGAAATATGCCAAAGAACTATGCAAAAGAACATGAAAGCCCCAGGAAACTCCCCACTTATAGTCAATACTTTTAGTACTTGGCATCCTTCTTAGCTATGGTATTTATTATTAGGTCTACATTTTGCCTTCCTAGAATCTGTCCATAAACGTGTTTTATCTTTATATATATATATTTCTTCCCAGAATTTGACTATAAATATAATTTTCTCTGCTCTTTTCACTAAACATCTTGTAAGCCTTTTCTTATTAAGTCTCCATTCTTTGTAAGCCTTGCTTGTAGTAGCTATGTGGTATTCAATCGCATGATGAGCCACAATTTATTCAGCTAATCTCCGATTGTTGGACATTTCACCATTTTCAATGTTTCATTTTCTAAAGCAGTTCCATGATAAACATGATTGTACATAAATCTTTGCATGTATGATTATTTTCTTTAAATAAAATATGAAAAAGCACAACACAAGCTAAAGAGTAGATGCATTTTTTAGAAGTCTGATGCACATTGCCAACCAACACTCTAGAAACAATGACCCAATTGTATTCCTACCAGTTGTGTGTATATATTTCTCATATCCTTGCCACACATGATATTTATTTTTATTTGTTAAGCTGATCCTTGAAAAGTCTGTGTCTCTTGAAATAGAATTCTTTGGATTATTTGTGCAGCTGCAACTTTGTGTTGATCCCGCAGCTGCTTTTAGGGTTGCCGTGATGTTTCTGGAGAGGAGGTGAGAATCTTTCACCTTCTACAAACAGCCCTTGGTATCTCTTGGCTGTGTCATACAAGCCGAAGTCTTGAAGCTTGCACCACCTTTCCCTTGAGTGCTACATGGACCTTGCTCTCTTTTATGTCTTGAAAACAGTTCTCTACCTTATAATATCCCACTTGTCTCAAAGGGGAAAAAAGTCAGCCCTGGGAAACTAGACGAACTAGAAATAATACTGATTAAAGAAGCAAGATTCACAACTTTCATGTTATTTCAGGACTTTTTGTGATACTTAAAGAGAGCATACAGTTGTGTAAGGCAACCTACACTCTAGGGAGAGTCTTGGTGCGTGTACACACTGTTCTCTTGGCCTGCGAAACTTCTTTTCTTCTTTCTCTTCAAGGCCCAGCCTTCACACTGCAGCTCACTGTTTGCTCCTTCCCCATCAGTTCTGATTCAGATGGCTCTGTTCACGCTTCTCCTTGCATCCACAACACTGGATTTTCTCTTTTTGTGCTGGATTGTGACACATCCTAACGTCTACCTCCTTTCCCATCTAAGAAAAAAACTTTAAAAGTGGGAAATGGGTCTTACTCATCTGCACATGTACAGAGTCTGGCATATCAGCTTACCCCAACTTGGATGTCCAATCCAGTACTTGGTTGATGAATAAATATTCCATAGCTAAATCATTCACATAGAAGGTAGAGCCTTTTGAAGTTGGGGATCAGGAGTGTGCGGAAATCCCATCCAAGGGAAGGCAACTCTTGAAATAGTAGAAGCCTGCCTGATTCTACCCACATGTCTGCGTATGAGTGGTCACTATGTCTTTGTCCTGCTTTCCCTTCTCAGTATAGTGGCAGGGCCTTTGGGTGAGGTTAGGACATACATAAGGACATCAGAAAAGCAGTACCAAACCAATTTCTAATGGCTATGGAAGCAAACAGAGGACCTCAACTGCATCCAGAGCTGAAAAATGATCCAGATGAATGATTACCAACACATGTTAACTACTTCTTATGTGCTCAGGGAGGTTATATGACTTGCCTCACCTTTAAAGTCAAGAAGAGGCACAGAGGAGCTTGGGACCCAAGATTAAAAGCTTACTATGGCTTTCCAATTGGATTTTCAGCATGGCTGAAAATGGCTAGATGACTGCTTGAAACTACCCCTGTCATGTCCAGAGAGATGTTTGAAGAGTGTTTAAGACCTGAACAGAGAGAGAGAGAGAGAGAGAGAGAGAGAGAGAGAGAGAGAGAGAGAGAGAGAGAGACAAAGAGCTCTGGAAAAATAGTCCACCACTTGATGGACACCTACTAGCTTATGATTTCATGCAGACTTACCTTGGAGTATGTGCATATTAACCAAGTCAGCACGGCCAGACCTGTTCCTGCTCTTTCGCCTAAGGGAATCTTCAGTCTATAGAACAAAAACATGGAGAATCACCTAGATTTAACTTTGGATTAGATTTAACTTTGGATTTAGAAAAATCCAGTTTCTCTTACAAGAAAAAACTACTCTTCTTCTGACAAATGGAAAATGAAATAGCACTGGGCTTCCAGGTTTTGATGAAGAAACACAATGAAGAACCCAGGAGTTTTAGAATGGGAGAACAAGATAAAGAGGTGAAAAGTTTGTTCGGGTCCGTGTCAGGATTGCAAAGTTAAAGACTTGAAGGCGCAGGCAGGCACATGTTAATAAAATACTGATACAATAGTCATGATACAAATTGCTTGTGTTATAAGCAGTCCTCTCTTAAGACAGACACACAATTAATCAAGCTGAGAGATAAAACTGAATAAAAACATCTGCTATGACAAGAGCACTTTCAGCCTTCTCCATGATTCATCTGGTTTCTCTCTTAGGATATGGGAAAATGCAAAGCCTACAGATTCAGATGTTAGAAGGCATTTAGAGATAGGTCACTCACTGTATCTCATAATTTTGATGGGGAGCTCCTCAGTCATGGTGAACCTTTTAGAGCTTTCAGTGATTAACAAACAGTCTACTTTCGGCACGTGTGCCACAGGCTCACCACCACTAGGCTGTCAGAGGGCCAATCCCGACTCTTGATTTCCACTAATAGGCTTTTAGCTTACTATTTTGGGGCCTTCAAAAAAAGCCGGAGGTTCTCTCTAATTCTGATTTTAAAAAAAGTCAGCTGTTGTTTGTTATTCTCCAGGTAGTGGGAGTAAAAGCCACTCAGTAGCAACTCTGAAGAGCTGCAGAGTGCTGCTCTTCCTGTGTCCTCACAGATAAGCAGCAAGGCCAGCACTCTCAGGCAAAGACACCGGTGCACCAGGCCCTCCTTCTCATGCAGAGCGCCAATGATGCCAAGTGGTATTTACACCACGGATAAATTCAGAGGACAGAGATTTGTTTTGAAGGTGCAGAATGAGTCAGTTTTCCCTAGAATGGGAAATAAATATTATTCCTTTTGCCTTTTAGCAACTGTAAATGAGCTCTGCAACCTCAGACCTTGCCTTCCCATTGAATCTCATTTAAGAAAAATCTTCGTGTTGCTAAGAAAAGACTGCAATGAAAGGTAAGGCATCTTGCAAACCAGTACTACTTCCCTTCTTAAAGTCTTTTTGATCTTCAGTGTACTCTTGCTGTGATTTTTTCCCCAAACCAAAAAGATTGAAGACATTTTGTTTAAATACTAAAAAATAGTAGTTTCGAAGCTCACTTAGAGGATCCAATCTCCACCATCATTAGTGCAGAGGAGTGAGGTTCCATACGATGTGAGAGGAGTGAGGTTCCCTATGATGTGGAGGCTGGTGAATGGCAAATTCATAGAGTTGGTTGCAGAAATTCTATGTGCGTCAGCCAGAGCTTAGCACCCGGAAAGCTGTAACTATAATCCAAGTTCAGGAAAGGCAATCTGCAGAAATTACCTTGGTACTATCCAGATGTTTTCTGTGCTCATGGAATGCAGCTGGAGTTTTCAGTGCTGAAACAGAAAGACAAAAAGATGAGCAGAGGCTGGCTCAGGGGCTGGTCAGTGTCTCAGGGCTGGCTGCTGTGTTGGCTGAGCTGTGTGCAGTCTGGAAGTGATTGCCATCGCTAGGCCACAAGCAATGAAAGACGAAAGGCCTGGAGGAGGCCAGCTGCCTGGAAGCCACGGAGACAGAGGAAGGTGAAACTCAGTCCTCAACCAAGAGGAGCAGCAGAGGCAGATTGCGTGACAGGAAGAGGAATGGTGGAGGCAAGGGCATTCCGAGCTCCTAAAGAAATAGAGAGATCAGAAATAACATGATTTATGAGAGGAGATAGATGGGTAACTAGCACCTTCTGTGACTTTGCTCTGCTCCAGAGTTCAAAAGCTGGGTGGCCTGGGTAGGGGTATATGGTGGGAAGGGACTGTACTTTGGGTAAAGGATGTGGCTGGCTGGTCACAAACATGCAAACCAGGAAATTTAGTAAAAAGTAGATAATTGGACTTTGAGGGCTGGAAGCAACCTTGGATTCAGGGAAGTCCAGTCCTGAATGAAATGGGGAAACATAGGGCCATACATATGGATTCACTTGCCCAGAATCACAAATAGGCCTTGGAGCCTAGGTCCTCTGGTAACCCTAACCTCCTCTAACCTGTGCTATTCAAATTAGCAACCAGCTAATGCAGCCTTGGTTCATCAAATGTAATATATAGTAGTTGTAAATCACCAGCATTAAATACCTCCACTCTTTCCTCTACATCCTCCATTACTCATCTGCAGCACCTCTTCATGATAATTCAGTAAACTTTTTTTTTTTTTTTGCTTTTTTATGTATTTGGTATGGGGTCTCACTACACAGCTCAGACTCATCGTGACCCTCCTGTTCTCCGGCTCCCCAGTGCTGGGATTATAGGCATGGTCCACCATGCCCAGTCTTGGTGGCTGGCTCAGTGCACCCTGGCGGTGAAGCCAACATGGCATGTGGAATCAGGTGTCAAACCCATCCCTGTGCTTGCCTAAGCAGGCACTTAGTCTGCTGAGCTATCTCACTGGCCCTCAGTAAACTTTTTTGATGTAGCAAAAGAAATAGGACATCCAGCAAAATTCTACCTTTTGTATTGATTTGCTTGTCCCCTGGAAAAATCTCAATCAGAACCCAAAGTAATCACTTTTCATTAAAAGTGATGAGGGTAATCAGAGGTTATAGAATTGCATTGATTTCTCTTGAATTTTAAGTCTAAACAAATTAATTAATCACATGATCCAGAGTTCTATAACTACTTTTACAGATGTTCACTCTTTTTTTTTGGATCTGGGTATCAAACTCAGGCCCTTGAGTTTGCCAGGGAAGCACTTATTCCACTGAGTCATCTCCCCGGCCCCTGTTCACTCTTTTTTCTTTTTCTTTCTTTCTTTCTTTCTTTCTTTCTTTCTTTCTTTCTTTCTTTCTTTCTTTCTTTCTTTCTTTCTTTCTTTCTTCCTTCCTTCCTTCCTTCCTTCCTTCCTTCCTTCTTTCTTTCTTTCTTTCTTTCTTTCTTTCTTTCTTTCTTTCTTTCTTTCTTTCTTTCTTTCGTGGAACTGGGGATTGAACTTCACTTGCCAGGGAATCACTTTTTCTACTGAGCCATCTCCCTGGACCCAGATATTCACTCTTAAATAGCAGGCAATGAAGTATGCTTCCAAATCTTGGATGGCATAAAAAGATTAGTTTTCTGGCTAGATCAGTCCTTGGGACTATATATATATGCATTAAGACTCACTCAGGTCTTAAGACCATGCATGCCAAGTGCAAGTGTTTTCAATAGGGAAGGCTGACTTCAGCTATAATACTGGTGGTTACCATAATGGCAGCCAACCTATTTTCCTCTATGGAGGATGCTACTTGGCAACAAAAATTCTCCATCAACTTCCCTGCTTCCCTAGCCATTTTGACCAAAGAGACATGCGAGACAGTCCCAGTGGCCTGGAGCTCAGTATAGCTGGTACCTTCCCTTCTCTTGACTAGAGCTGGAGGTTGAGAGGTCTGATTTTTTTTTTTCCTTACGTTTTACATTTCTCACTGATCTTGAAACTGGTTCTTTAGCTTGTCTTTGATTACTGTTTCTACTCTGAACTCAGAGTTCTTTGTCATACCTACTGCTAGAGATGACCCTTTCCTCCCATTTCTTCTTATTCAGTGACTCTGGAAAATAAATGTGCTGCTCACTTCCTTGGATTTGTGAAGAACTCTCTTTGGGAAGAACTCTCAACTTTTTCTGCATTTTAGTACAGATGGAATTTGTATTGAGGGTATCTAAAGACTGCTTTCCTTTCCCTTAGTAAGCAAAGCACAAAGCCTTCTCAGAGAACAGTGTTTCCTGGGGGAACCTTTGTAATGTAAATCCTCAGGCTTTCACTTCTGTCCCATCACCTATGGGTCATTTCACTGAGTATTACTTATTGGTATGGTTTAATTACTTACATCATTCAGAAAAAGAACTGACTTTAGAAATGGGGTCTTTATTAAGTGGTTAAAAAGAATAACACATTCTTTTACTTAACAAGTTACCCAAAGGGAACAGTATGAATATATCTTGAGATATCTCACACATTCCAAACATGGTTGCTTTTAATTAGGCTTGGAATTTGAGAGGGATTTATCTGATTTTTCCCTCCCTGAAGATCTTCATTTCTTGTTGGTGGAGCTTATTAATTGTCCTAAGAAACACTGTATTTCCTATGTCTTAGCTTTATACATTACAATAACTTCATGTTAAGAACTACTCTATGAAATAATTCACACGGTTCAGTTCTCTGATGCCAGGGGCACAAAGGTCTTCTAGAACATTCTACTCAAGGATGGGAAGCTATGCCCATTTAGTAAGGTTTTGGAAAGAATACCAAAGAGGTCCACACACTGCTTTTGCCACATACTCCTCTCCTCAGGGCTTTATGCGGGTTGTGTGGGACACTGCCTTGAGGTCACATAATGGAAAACTCCCCTGCAATGCCTTAGGGTCAAGGTTTGCCTTCTCCTGGATTGCAGAGAACATGGGTGTCAGCCATCTTCCCGGAGGGCCTGCAACAATAATAATAGTCCCCATCCCCAGTTGAGTTTTTGGAAAATACACAAAGGACCACTTGGGCTTGCCAGCCTGGGGAGTATCAAATGGCAAAATTTTGTATTTAAAGGACATTGACATTTAAGATTGAAAAGGAATTTGAGTTTCTAAATTAAAAAAATAAGTCCGTGTGATTTCAAATTAAAATATGGTTATAAATCCAGTCAGCTACACATTTGACTTGTTCCCTCTAGAGGAAGATTAATCGCTCCTCACAGGGGAATTCATGTTCTCGCCTCAGAGTTTAGTTGCTGGCTATTCCTATTTCTGTCCCCATAGCTCCAGCTAATTTAGGTCAGCTGTGTGTATAAACATTTGCTTACTTAGAGTTCAGAAAAATGATCCTGAGATAGGGACAGGGCTCTTATGGTCCTCATTTCTCTGGTCAAACATCAGTGCTCAGAAAGAATCTAAGACAATGGAGAAAATAGGCCATGAGCCTACTAAGAGCCCATTTAAGAAGGATGCCTGATCCTCACATACAGGGTTGTGATCTCAGACAGCCAGGGCAAGGCTGCTGCCAGGTGTGACTTCTTCCTAGGGACCTCTCCCTAGCAGGTTCAGTGGCAACGCAGCTCCACTAGTGCTGAGGAAAAAGATCAAGAAGCAGATTGAAGGAGCCAGAAAACTGAGCAAGAATCCTATCCATGATATGGTCCTTGGCCCAGCCTTCTCCTTATCAATTGGGAATGTGCTCGAAATTCTCATTCTCGACCTTTCACTCCAGAACTGCAACCTCAGAACCTCTGGGGATGGGGACCCAGATTTGTGTTTGACCAAGCTCTCTAGCTGATTTTGATACCCAACTTTAAGAACTTGTGTTTTGAAGCTTATAAGGCCAGCAAGTCCTGAGTTAGGATCGTTGGGCATCTACAAATTCCCAAGGGAGCAATGGGTTGCCAGGACTCATATTCAGCATTTCAAAAACATGAAAATAAAGGTATGTCTGCCCAGAGAGGGGATGCTTAGACTAATGAAACTTCTTTTTCATTGCTGCTGTCTAGAATCACAGCAGTATAGGTTAGAAATGAGTGTTTTCATTAAGAAGCACTGGCTATTAAATTTATATGCCATGAATTAATTAAAAACAGAAATATAGATTAATAATTAATGTGGGTAGTGTTCTGGGGGGAATATAAAACTATTTCAAATCTTTTTTTTTTTTTTTTGCAGAACTGGGGATTGAACTCAGGCCCTTGTGCTTGCCAGGGAAGCACTTATTCCACTGGGCCATCTCCCCGGCCCAAAACTATCTCAAACCTCAGAGCTATAGCTGTGATGGCTGTAAGCAGGGATGTCCTGGATGAATAAAAATTTAAGAACCATTTACTGAACCCTGTCCACATTTTGTCATCTGTTTTAGAAATAATCTTGAGTAGATTCAATAGGCTTCCTGGGCTCTCAATTTCCCACTTATAAAATGGGTTTTCTATCTTGGTGTAAGAGCAGACAGAGTCACATTTCTTCTGAGATCAGGATATTTGCTATGTGAAATTATATCCTCTGTCTATGTTGGTAATATATATCTTATTCTATACCCAAATGATAACCGTAGGGATCTGAAAACAGTGACTTTTTCTCCAACGTAGTGTTGTAATATCTAAGACCTGTCTTGCGCAATTACAGAATTGTTGCAACATATATAAACTTCTCTGAATGGGATATTGGAATTTCTCTGAAAAAGGAAATAAAGCCAAATTCAAAGTGTATCTGTAATTATTGTTTTTCTAGTTTCTAAGGGACAGGGAACTGGAAAATTGAACCAGAGATGGAGAAAATGAAGAAAATTAGGATTGCTGATCCAAATGGACTTGGCTTAAAAATCCTATCTCTGAGGTTGAGATGTTAGAAAGAAAAGAGGAGCCAGATAGACCAATCCCATCGTGCTGTGTTCTGCTCAGACAGCCAACAGTGTGTACAAGGGTGCTGTGGGAAGAAGCCAAGTCAAATGAATGCTCTGAGCAAAGGAAGAGAGACGCTGTCCAGTCAACTTCTCAAAACTATGGTGAGGCTGCATGAGGTGTGGGTGCAGGAATTGCCCAGTTCATTCTTCTTGCTATTCAGGAGTACCACAGAGTTCAGGGATTTACCAGGGCTTTGCAGTAAGTATGTGGCTGCTGTAGCTTGAATTAGTCTGCAAAAAAAATAAAGGCAGCACCATTCATACACAACTCATTGTATTATCAAGTTCTTTTACACTGATCAGATCATGGAGCCATTGTGTCCAAATGTCCTATTGTGGCCGGTGATTGGCTCTCTCAGAGTCTGTTGACAAGTAGCAGCCTCTTTGACCTGTAAGTCCTCTACTATCCATTTTAATTCTCTTGCTCTTACCTTCCGTATTCCAGAAAGAGGTAAGATTTCCCACCTATCGTCCCTGGATTCAACCCCGTTAGATTCTCTTTAATAGTAGAGAGGAAGAGAAATCATAACTTTTCTCTTTCAATCCTTCCAATACCCATTCCCACATAGGGACATAAAGCTGCCTGAAATTGTTAATAGAAACAATTAAATGTGGGCAATTGGGGTCTCTTACAGACTGTAAGATCTTAGACACAGAAATCATATTTGTGTCCTCTGTGTCTTCCCCCAGAGATTTCCTCATAGCAGATGCTTAAAAAATATTGACTGAGTTACTCTATGGCCATTTTATTCGGTGTAATCCACAGAGCTTGTTATTATCTACACTGAGGCATTGGTAGTGGTTAGAATTGAATGGTGTCATTTAAAAGATTCTACTTAGGAGAATGGTGACAAAAGGAAAGAACTGTAGGGAAGAAAATATGTATGAAACAGTGATAAGCAGGCTCCCAGGGACCCCCAGAGATCAATGAGGAGAGGGAGTTGGCTTTGTCCTAAAGCCATAGGAAAGTACTGAGTCTTGAATCTGAAAGGGATGGAGAGTCCCTTTGAGTCCTGGGTCTTTGGAGGTAAGCCCAAACAACAAATCCTTAGAGTAGTAATTTGGAGTTAACCGTGAGACAGAGTTTCACCCAGAAGTGAGGATTTCAGGCTTTAAAAATGTGAATCTGGGGTCCAGGGATATAGCTCAGCAGTACAGTGCCTTCCTGGTAAGTGCAAGGTCCTGAGTTTGATTCCCATTCAAAAACAAAACAAAAACAACAACAGTGTATTTCACACCTGGTAAGAACGTGAAAGCAGTTTTTAGGCTGTGAGTTGGGGCCTAACTTGAGGCTCAAGAATGTTTCTTCACTGTTTAAAGTTCTCTTAGGGGGCTCTTCAGGGCCTTAGATTCTCTATTCTTTACTTTTAATGAAGAGATGATGTCTTTAAGCTCATGGCATGAAATGGAAAGAGAGAAAAATATCCTAAACTATGAGCTCACTCTTGCTAAACCATTGCTTGTCAATGAGAACAAAGTGAATATGTAAAAGAAGTGAAGGGGGTTGTGATGCAAAAAAGGAATTTTTGGTGGCTGAGGAGTCCTTGTTACTGGGCAGCAACCTTAAGTCTTTCAGGATGCACATCTAGGAAGAAGGAAGGGAATGCAATGAACCCCACTGGGCTAGCTGCGTTAGTGAACTGCATGGTGCACGTTTGTGCTCATTAGAGTAAGTGGGAGAGAAGCCTTCGAACTTTATCAGCAACTTGGAGTGCAACTGAAGTGAGATTTGTGGGAGAGCTAATTCAGTGGAGTTTGTCATTCAGTGTTGACCATAGTAAAACAGATTATGATGCAGAACTTGAAGTCCATTTCATGAAAACCATTGGCACTTCCACACTTTATCTGTTTTTACACTTTTCAAATTCCAACCAAAGCTTTGGTCCCAAAAAATGTTTTAATGGCCTAGTGATTCTTTTCAAACATGTGAGAAGAGGAGCCTGCTGAGGATTGGGAGGCTCAGATTTGGCCTCAGCTCTGCACCAACAGGAGAGACTTTTGGGCTTTCTGTAGTATTTGACAAGACCCAAAGACTTAACGTAATATGAAAATCAAGACTAATTCTGCCACAGGATGGCAGGTGTTGCTGTGGACTGTCCTAAAAATAGTACTGCTATTATAACCTAAGAACAGTAAATTCACTGGGGTGACAGTTTTGAATTATGAAAAGTTTTTAAATTTTGGGAATGATTGCAGTTCTTTCCAAATTTCATGGGTAAAGTGATATTGTATGAACAAAATCTCAAACTGTAGGCAGTTAAATAATACTAAATTAAAGCTGCAGAAAGTGGGACTATATTGGACCTGGCACTGGAACATTTGAAAACTTTGTTAGGCCTCATCAACCTCAGTTCCACGAACTTCAAAGACAAATACAGATTTGATGAGGTCAGAGGTTTTTATTTTTCTTGGGGGGATCTTCTGGAAGGCAAAAGGGGAGGCCCAGAAAGTGACGCAGAGGCCCTAAGCACTGTGTGTGTGTGTGTGTGTGTGTGTGTGTGTGTTTAAGAGTGATGTCTATGCAAAAGCTATTGAAATAGAAGATGAATGTTTATATAAAAATTATTATAGCAAAAGACACATTGCCATTGACTCTCCTCAAAATACTTCTTCTTGATTGGAGTTCTTCCACTTTCTGAAGCAGTTTTGGAAGCTGTCTTCTGTGACTGTATTCATGGCATGATCATAAACAGTGAGTACTACTGCTGACTACCACCTAATGCAAAAGCGGACTCCTAACAATATGGTGCTCATCTGCCATATTTAGATCTGGCCTGGTGCTATTTTGGGCTCTTTCTCAAAGTCAAAATGATCACCAGAGGTAAACTGACCTCATGGCAGCCATAACAGCACAGATACAGAAAGGGAAGAAGGCTTCTGGAACTGTCTCACAAAATGACAAGAATGATGGCACATGTGTTAAGTGTGGCAGAGGTGGGGCAAATTTTGAGGGTGAATAATGACAATGTGTTTCTTACCATAACAAATATTTTTATTTAAACACATACCATATTTTTGATCACACTGCCTTTGCCATTTGGCTGACTAATAAGAATTATTTCAATATTTGTAGGACTTTTTATCTTCAGAAATTATCTATGGCTACAAATTTTCTGCCAAGCAATATTTTGTTTGTATCTATACAATTTGATTTTGGAAATACTGAAGAACAAAATCTCATATCTCCTTTGGATTCTACTATACAGACAGATGCTTGATTTACACAGCTGACATGAAAGGTGTCATTTAAAAATACACTGTAGAGTTATTCTCTCTCTTGATTGGATGTTTTCATTGATTACCAAATTGAAGCCCAAATTCCTAAAAGAATTTATACTTATCCAATGCCAGCTGCAAGAACCAGGTCCCGAGTATTCAGGCCCATGAAGAGAACATTAAATCCATTGTGAAGCAACTTGAACTAAGAGGTCCTGAGTCTATCTTTATGCTCTACTTACTTTTCCAGAATTAAGGAGAAATAAACTTGGGTGAGAGCACAAGTTATCAGGTTGGAGTGGAAGTGCCACGGCCTGACATGATCTTGTAGATCTTTGTTTTCCTTCTTTTTCTAGCACCTCCGTTGGATAGCTTACACAAAATGGACCTCACAGAGACTGGATTCTTTGGTTCTTCATATACTTGTCAATGTTGCTTTAAAAAAAAGGCTTGAAATTTCATGTGAATTATTTCTTTTGTGCTTAGAAAACCGCTACAAAAATCGTTGTGCTTTAAGGTTAGCTACTATTTACTCTTTGTAGAGGTTAACCATTAACAAAGAGTTACTTTTGACTTATAAAAAAGTTCTTAGTTCTGTTCTGGCTCTAGAGCCCAGGATACATTTACAATTTGCAAACCATGGATCATAGGACTTAAATACCACTAGCCGCACAACAGTTTGTCAAGGGCAAACTTCTGCTGGTTGCCTACTAAACATTGAAATAACAGTCATGACAGTATTATACAGGGACCTGAATTTGTACAAGGGCCATTATGGATCTTGATTTTAAACATTTTATTGGGGAGAAAGTTAATATGATGTATAGCAACTTAAGCCATGATTTCCTTCATTCAGGGACTCTTTTCTCTGTTGGCATAGATAGCCATAAGTCAGCTTTAATTGCTGAACTGACAGAAAATTTAGAATACACATTCTAAAAGGTATGATAATGCTTCTTCTTTGATACAGATTATGGCCAGCAATTCAATATTATGTAATTTGTGCCAGATTGGTATTGTTACTCAAAATTCTAGAAGAGAAACACATGACAATCTTTAATTCATTGTGCTGTCAAATTCCCCAAACAGAACAGAAACCAGGAAGGTGAGAAAATAAATTATGTGATTAATGCTTCGGAAAAAAAAGTAATTATGCCCAATTTTAAAAGAAAGCAAAGGGTAAGGGATGTCCACAGTGAGGTGTGTTCACCCTAAGAGCAGACTCATCACATTGGAAATTTAGACACTACCCATTTGGCTTAAAGGGAAGCACTCTGTAGGTGGGTTCCAGTAGAGAGGGCAAAGCACTTGGACCATGGGTTTCTGCTGACGCAGACTCAATGTCTCTTGCAAGAGCAATACATTGGCTTAGCCTAAATGACCTCTGCAGCACTTTCCAGCTCTCAAATTGCATGCCCTTGGCAATCTCTTAGTAAGTTAAGAGCTAGGGGTACTCACGTGGTAGTAAGCCTTGGTTAGCCAGTTGTTCCTGGGTCCTTCTCCGTTGAAGTCGTAACTGTAAAACTTAGAAAAGAAAGTGTGAGTTTGTGAGTTGAGTTAAAAATGATTATACTCACTTACATTTGCACGATACTTTTCATAGCTGTTCTCATCTTATTTCTAGAACAGTTCTGAAAATTATTCTCCAGTGTTACAGAAGCAAGGAGAAAAAAATGAGAGAAGCTGGGGGCTGAAAGGTATGCAGCAAGCCCTAATAAGCTCTGTCTCCTTACATTGTTTGAAAGATAAAATTATTCAGTTCTACTTGGGTGGTGGTCTGTGCTTTCAAAAGGGGAGACAGTGAGGAAAAAAAGATAAAGTTCAAATCCTATCTTCCAGCCCTTAATAGGTGCGTAACCCTGGGCATATTACTAAACCTTCTTGACCCATAGTTTCTTTGTCTGTAAACAGGAACAAAGCCAGCATTGCAGCATTGTCATACAGTCTGGTAAAACAAGTATACACATTACTTAGCAGAATACCTAGTACATACCACAATGTCATCAATAAATGATAGTGTTATAAGAACCTGAATTTTTGGGAGAATTCAGACTATGGAACTTATGCCAGGGCCAAGAGATAGCTCAGTAGAATAAGCACTTGCCTGGCAAGTGCAAGGGTCTGAGTTCAATCCTTGGTTCTGAAGGAAAAAAAAGGAAGTTATGCCTTGTTTGGAAAAATAACACATTATAAAATT